CTCACCCTCACCCTTCTCACCCTCACCCTTCTCACCCTCACCCTCAACCTCACCCTCCTCTGCCTCAACCCCAACCTCAACCTCAACTTCATCCACATTTTCATCAAACAAGATGTCATCCAACTTGTCAACTTCACTATCATTCTCCCACTCAAAAGTTTCATCACTATCATCTTCACCAACCTCATTTTCAATTTCAGGTGCATTAACAATTTCTGTATTTTCACTTAGCTCTTCAACAAACAAACTAACCTCCCTAACCTTGTTAAATTGTCTTTGCCACACACTCTCAAGATCAGTCTCAGTTGAAAGTAACATGAAACTCCCACAACCAACATATGTGTGCAGTCTCATAGGATTTTTGCACCCTATAAATTCTGCCACAGACTTAAAGTCAGCAAGTGTGACCCTTTCATAATCCACATAGTCAAACATTATTGTACTCCCACCTAGATATGCAGAATATTTTTTCCCAATATCAAATTTACCCCCAAATTCTAGGGTGACTGTGAAGAATTTACTAGTTGAACCTGCAGTAACAATAAAAATTACAATGAAAAAGCATCCAGGAAAGGAAAATAGTGTAGACTGACAAAATTAAAATTAAAATTAAATACATACTATATCTAGGAGCTGGGGAACATTCTTTGTCACTGGGTCGTATTTGAATCTCGCAGTCGGAAACACGAAGGCCTCTTGCTAACTTCAAAATGGGATTCGATTTTCGAACTGGTTTTTTCTTCATTGTGACAGTGGTTGACTGATTAAGGTCGAAATTGATGTAAGTGATTGAACTGGAAGATAATCTAGGTTAGTTTTTCTTCATTATGTGAGTGATTGAGGTCGAAATTGAAATGAAGATAATCTAGGGTTTTTTCTTCACGATTGAAATGCAATAGGGGCGGGGCAGACGTACAGGTGTGTGGGATTTCCCTCCAAAATTAAGCCACATGTCCACGGTGTCGGCCACATAAATTCCACGCATGAATATACCGAAAGATTAAATGCCACGTAATAAGATAATCAGGCCACGTCAGATTTTTATCCCGCAGGGGTGATTAATGTATCGTTTCCGACGAAAATGCCAACTTCGCGTGTCTTTTCCGAGAGGGACAACATAATGTCTCTTTTGTTGACAACGCCCAACTTAGTGTATCTTTTTTGTATTTTTGCCCTCCCTTGGAACCTTAATCCCACACTTTTTAGGCAGTGCCAATGCATTTTTAGGATCAACACCACATTTAGCGAAGTCTTTTTTGTAGGTGCATAAGCATGATAACTTAGCTTTGTGCAAGACTTTGCAACATATGACGGTGGGTGACGTGTCACCGGATATAGCTAGAAAGCACTCTGCTAACTCCGATAATTTGATGCTGCAAATGACAGATGGCAAGCCGTTAGCCTCCATGAGCAATAGTGACAGCACTTGCACGAAAAGTAGTGTGTAGATGATTGGTTTAACTGAACCCATATTAATTCTTTGATTCTGATTATTGCTGTTTTGTGAATGCCATTGTTTGCTTTTATTTATAATCCCATGAGGAATGTTTATTGTATTGTTTGTGGCTTTAGCGATCACGTGAACTTTTTTGGCCACGTCTAGTCTAAATGCCAAATTTGCTGGGCAAGTGTACGTAGCTTTATGTGAAGAGTTCTAATTTTTAACATTACTTTTGGATAATTAAATTGGGGTGTGATTTAGGAGCCCGTGAAGTTGTGGGGAATATTTTCAGGTGGGGGCACGTGCATATTACTTTCGGACCTTTCGATGCTTGTCCATTACATGATTAGGTAGTTTAAGCGATTATTATAGTATGTGTTATAAAACTAGAGAGAAAAAGAGAGAATAGAGAAAATGTTTCTCTTGGTTGTATTTTCATTATAAATGAAGCTCCTATTTATAGGAAAACTTCCGATGTCACAATCGTAATAATACAATTACATCAGGGGCAAAATAGTCATTCACATATATTATTTTATTTTCCTCATGCTCCTCATGCACAATATTATAACACTCCCCCTTGAATGACTATTTTCTAAATATCATTATTCGAACAAAACATAATCTGAACATCTTGAAAACATCTTGTGGCCATCAATTACTGCTGCTTCAATATGTCAGAAAAACCTAGGTGGGACAAAACCTGATCATTTTAGAATCACAACATTACTCTCTCAGTAAAACCCAGTGGGACAAAACCTGAGCATTGTAGAAGCATAACATTGCTCACCCTCAAATAGATCATCTTTAGTGGAGTATTCACGTGTTGCCTCATTAAAACCTTGTCAAGAAAATTCAATGGGAAAAAACTTGATCGAAGGAAAAAGAGTACAACTACTCCAATATCTTTTTATCATCATGTGGAATCATATCATTTATTCAGTAGACCTCATCATACCATGAATATGCCTCATTAAAACTTTATTAGGAAAAACCCAGTGGACAAAATCCTAATGAAGGAAAAAGAGTACACTATTCATGTGAATACGCCATCTATTTTGCCTCATTAAAAACCTTGCTGAGAAAATCCAATGGGACAAAACCTCAGTCAAGGAAAAAAGAGTACAACGCATATTCCATATATTCATCATAATAATATTTCCATGAATATCATAATATCAACGCTTCCGGCGTATTATTCCATCATCATAATATTTCACATATTTCACTTCCATCAATATCATTCAGTTTATTTGCACACTTCCAGTGTGATAAATTTCAATCATTGATTCTCCCCCTCGTCTTAACAAATCTCTGATCTGTATTTTCAATATTGAATTTCTTGAGAGAAGTTCATATAGTCTCCGTTTCGTTCTCGATTTCAATATATATATAATAGTAGGACTTTGAAATCATATCACTTGCAATGTGCCCAATTTTCTTTCAAGAATTCATCATATCAAATGGGTATATTACTAGCTTGTTCACATGACACTTATTTTCATCATTTCGTAACTTCAGGTTACGTGTCATATGCATATTCATTGCTTAAAACATATCGTAACTTCAGGTTACGAATCATATAATCATGTGGCTATCTAGTTTATCCAAAATATCTAATAGCACACATGGGAGAGGTAGTGGGCCCATATATCGTACCCTCTTTTCATATTGATTCACAAATATTTAGCTAGTAATAATTTTCACCAATCAAGAACAAAACATCAAATATCACAAATCATGCAAACCATTATCATCACAATAATTCATATTTATCACAAACATATCACATCATCTTTCGGCGGCAATAAATTCACTTCAAGTGCACACAATATTTAAATTCAGAACGCGTATCATGTCTTCTGACATAAAGACTTTTAAGCTCTGTTTTTAGAGCCGTATCGCATACGCATCACTTTTATAAATTATCAGGTGAATCATTCAATTTTCCTTAACAAAGATCCTAATTCACAAATGGATTTAGCACTCTCAAATATCCATAAATATTATCCTTTTCTCCCAATAAATATCATAAAAAGGATTTATCGATCTCGATTAGAAAGATTGAGGGTGCTAATGATTAATGATATTCCAAATGATATTCGATGGTTGATTGAAGCAAAAGTCCAATTGTCTGGAGAGTTTCCAAATTCATACAAATATATGCCAGGTATGGGTAAAAGTACTTTTGATTAGGTGGATGCTTCAAATGCGCTTGATGGACTTCTGACACACGATGTACATCTGTGGGGTTCGTATCCAAAAATCGAGAGGATAAAATATCATTTATAAAGGATGGATTGAGTAAAGAATCTATGGATCAAACGATTCAACAGATTCTTGAGACACATCCTAGTGGTTATGTGCATCGTGAGCTTATGTCTCTATGGATTTGTTTCAAAAATGAAGAAGAACGTTAGTCTCGTAAATATTGTTTCAAAAGATCAAGTTTGTAAAAATTGTTCTTGCTAGTACGAAAAATACATTTCTGTATTTTGTACTGTAATTTTCAGAAAATCTTATAGCTGCCGACAGATAAGATTCTTTGAAGACTTAACGCCTTATCTGTCGGTTATCGTTTTGTGAAACATCCCTTTTAAATAGCGAGTCATCCATCATAATCATATAAGTCACAAAATTTAGCTTATCAATAGATGGATGTTTCAGAGTCTTCTCAAGGTAATAAATTTCTTCATCCGATCAAAACCATGTGTGTTCTTGGTGGTTCTAAACTGGTAAGTTTTTCTCAAAATATTGATATTGTAAGCCAACTAGTAAGGGAGATGGGGAATCGAAAAATCAATTTACTGTATGGAGGGACTAGCATCATTTTCTTTGATAACCTTTTAATGGCTGGAAAATGTTTTGATATAGAAGTGAAAAGTATCATACCTTTTCATAGAGCTTCAACAAGGGTCGTCAAAGATTCCACAAGTTTGATGCTAACTCATTCTATTTATGACTGTATGATGGATATGGTGAACAATAGCGATGCTTTTATCATTCTTCCAGGCGGTTATGGAACTTTAATGACAATGTTTACCATTGCTTCTTGGGTAGAATTGAAACTTCATAAGCCAATTGGCCTATTGAATTTTAATAATTATTTTCATGGTTTGCTTGGATTTTTAGACGAAGGAGTATATCAAACCTTTATATCTCCTTTAACGAGAGAAGTATTCAAATCTGCAGACACGCCTTCTGAGCTTATCAAAAAGCTTCAAGAATGCATCACATTTCAAGATTCTGTGGAAACACAAGGGGTCAAGTGAAAAAGAACTTTTGATCCTTTAGATCTCTCATTATGAACCCATATAATAATCATGGGTGGCAGAGTTACGGAGTTTATACTCTCGAGATGCACCCTTCTTTAATGGGTTCTATTATGTAATATTTTTCGCATATTTATTGAGGATTCACAACCTCTTATCTGTATTTCCATCATATGATCCTTATGTACTTGTTCTTCAGTGATAATAATATTTTTAGTTTCTTTGGATCTTTACAAATACTTCTTCTAGGAGATGCTCGATCTTCAAGTTGAGATAATACTCTTTAATATTTTACCAAGAGTTTCATTATAACTCTGTCTATAAGCATGAGCTAACTTATTTAATCTTTTACATAGTGTTCATAACATAATCTATTTAATCGAGATGATCATTTTTTATATTATACACAAGGTTCTACCTTGAATTCCGTACTTTACTTTTTCTTCAGGAATAATTTTGTTGGTTGTACCACATCTTACCAACAACTTTATGTAATTAAATGATTTAATTATCTTTCATCTCGGGTATTCGAGTCCATCCAGAACTTTCACATATGACTCAATAGTCATGATAATTTTGCTGCCATATATATTAGCTTGCGGAATAATAAATAATGAGAGAAGTTTTATAAAATTTTGGGTCTCTGCGTAATCCCATATTCTCGCTATATTTACATCACACCACCATATCACATATAAGTATTCATCCTTCTGGGATATACTATCCTTCTGGGATATATCGTGTAGCGAGTAAAAACTCTGCCTTTATTTTTCTTTCTATCTCAATCAATCTAAGCGCTTCTAGCACTTTCATTATTTTGATCCGGATCATTTTTTGAGATAGTAAAGAAATCACATAGGCAATTATGTTGTCAACAACTATGATATTCAATTTATATTCTCTCCACCATATGCGCAACTTCATATTTAGTAGCCATATTTATAATCATTTCCCGTAACATTTAATTTTGGCTATTTCGCGTTTCCAGTACTATAATGTTTTGATGCACGTGCAAGATAAGATGGAAATCTTCTGGAGTTTCTTTATAAAAGAGTGTTAAATCTTGAATATATATTTTCCGCGGACTTTAATATATTATATCACCTTATGCTTTAGGCATTAAGGAGTTAATCATTCCCTAGGAATTTTGCTTACTTTGTGGTACATTTATACAAATTTCTCACTCCATTATTACTATAAATTTCGTTTGGCAGAAATATAATATGAACTTCAAGTTCAATTGCGTGGTTTCAGATAATGAAAACATTAATATTTCAAATATTTTACGGTATTAATAAATTTATGCTCATATCTCCCCTAATGCCGTTAAATATTGCCGCACAATACGTACCAAATAATAAATTGACCCCCTATAATGGCCTCTAGGTATTAAAAATCTGACGGAGTATCATATCATACCTAGTTTATAATATTGGCCCATAAAGGTACGAATTGGTGGTGATATAAGATTGTGCATAATAACAAATCGCAGATGGGAAATGTTCAATTTTCCACGCATCATCTTGGGGAAATTATGATAAATAATTGCTCAATATGATCCAACTGCTCATGCTAATTATCGAATATATAAGTTGAGCATCAAAGTATAATAAATCAATTCTTAAGTGAACACTATTTGATTCAGACACTACATATCTCTTTAGGAGCAATAATTGAATTATGAGATATTTCATAAGTTATATAATATTTTTCCTCTATCATTGAAAATAATCCTTATTTAGATGATAATGTCTACTGGACATATCACTTTCAAATATTAACAATAAATGTTAACAATAAGGGGATACATATCAAACAAGATATGTTCATAAATAAGGACAATTAAATCAAATAAATATATAGTTTTATATAAGAAATATAATTTTCTATCATATTTCTCATGTGATAAATTATGCTTTTCTACATGTGCTTCTAGCACTACATATTTTGTTTCATATCACATGGATCAATTCATAAATATCCACATTTCTATTTACCAAATATTTTTCTCAATAGAAAAATTCATACATTTCATAATACCAATATATATAATTTAATATATCAATATTGGTCTTGAAATGAAGCTATCATTAGATTGAGTAATATGAAAGTGAAATAAGTTTATTTCGATAAACAAAACTTATTTTATTTGGCAAAATCTAGTTTTAATGATAAAGTAAATTTAATGAATTTTAATGATCAAATAAATTGGTGGTTTGATCAACTAATCCACTTTCACGATTGAATCAATGAGTGGGGGCCATGTTTAAACCATAATATAAATCCAAGTCAATAATTGCGGAATAAGATATGCATTGCAATGTCAAATACAATCATCATCAATTTGTGCCAATCAGTGACATGTGAGAGAGCATTTGAGGCATTAATTATTAATTCAAGGACATTTACTTGTGAGAGCACTCACGCAGCATAATAGACACAAGCTTCAGATATAGAGAGTTGGGCGAACACGCACAGCTGCGAGGAGAAGAGTCAGTTTAATTAATTAAACAATTATCATACCAGTTTTTGGCTGAAAATCAAGCTGATTGGAATGAGATAAGCTAGCTGGGCATGGTCATCGATCTATAAGGAAACCGTCGATGAATTGGCCTCCATCAGCTTCAGATACGGCTTTCTACTTCCCTCAACCAACAACTCATCCGGTATGATTTTTCTTTCACTGTTTTCTTTGAACTTGAAGAATAATTTCAATAAAATAATGATTTGTAATATTTTGGTTTCTGATACAGAGGATCGTCTATAAGACGCAACTGTAGAGCATACTCTCGTCATATTATAAATCGAGCTCTAGAGGACAGAGACTCATGCTGATAACGTGTTATAAAACTAGAAAGAAAAAGAGAGAATAGAGAAAATGTTTCTCTTGGTTGTATTTTCATTATAAATGAAGCTCCTATTTATAGAAAAACTTCCGATGTCACAATCGTAATAATACAATTACATCAGGGGCAAAATAGTCATTCACATATATTATTTTATTTTCCTCATGCTCCTCATGCACAATATTAATTATAACAATATGGATCATATATATATATAATAGGCGTAGCCCTTTTTCTTTTCTTTTTAATGAATCTGTGTATGTGATTGTGTCTGTTGGAGCTTATTGTGGAATGTTTATGAAATGATTGTCTTCGGCTTGCTAAAGTGACTTGTATTACCAATGAGTAATCGATTGTACTCATTTTGGAGTTTTAATAATATTACACCCAAAAAAATATCATGTAATAGTTGTAGTTCCTGAATTGTCCTTGAATTTGATTAGGCAAAACTTACCTAACCGTCCATTTAAGTGGAATAATTGAAAACGATAAATCTAGAAGTGAAATTTCAATTTTACATAAATATACTTTTGGTTACAAATTCTTAGTAAATCTAAAAAATTCAAACAAATCAAAATGATAAATAAATAAATTAAATACCTTAAGACTTTAACATTTCAAATATGAATACATCTAAATTTTTAAAGGTTTCAAAAATGCATGTTAAATGCATCATCATTCTTAATATATCAAAAAGTCTGAGAACAGAGAATGAATAAACCCCATTACTATCTTGATACGAGGATCATTTGTACACTCACTACTCTACGCAATGAAACATGTAATAACAAATGAAACAAAAGGGGCAGATGAGCTTTTTACATACCCAAAGTNCAAAAGCAATTTAAAATAAGTTAACAAGCACACTGCTTTTGCAGCTATATTAAGATAGAAGTTAGTATTTCGTGACTCCATCCTACAAATTACAACCTTTAACTCTTTCAAGCATGTTATCTCCTAAGTATCAGAATATTACAATGCATTGGAAAAGCTGGAAAAGCCACCCAGCATAGAAATGTTTCATATGCAAATACATGTAAAAAGTAAAGGTTTAGCAGTTAGCCAAAGAGAGCAGTTTATCCCATAATTAATTACCTACCTCATCACTTTCTAGCACCCAATGTCGTAATAAAACCCTAAACGACTGGAAGTAGAAGCCAAAAGAAACCTTTTTCCAGATGAAGTTGAAACACACTAAGTTAGCATTAGCATCATTTACCTGCAAAAAATAGTTACCAACATAAACCATCAGCAAATCACCATTGGATACAATTCAGTTTCGGGTTTTACAGGTTTTTGTAATCGTCGTATAATCTTTCTTATAGAATTTCAATCCACAGAGGTTTTCTCAACTTTGCTAACAGACTTGAAAGAAAAAACACCAACAAGTTGATTAAACATGTGAACCACTAAAATATAAAACAAGAGATAGCAAATTCCCTTGCAAAATGTAGGAACTGTGATTCGACTATACAAGAAATTTGTAGGGAATGAATGGCGAAACTATAGCAGAAAACTGCCAGAAGGCGGAAAGCAACACAAAATACAGATAGATGAGAAGGAAAAGTTAAAACGAGACATCAAAAGCAACAAAGTGAAGTTCTAGAACATAAGAGAAAATTTACCAGACATTGCCTGCTAAAATCCTCTGTTATGGACAAGTTAATAAGAAGCAAATCATACCTTTCACTAACCAATCAGCAAATCGGCTATGATTTCTTGGATAAGTGGCGTTGTGCCAGCATCTCAGGTATACCTAATGCTGAAATGCTCTCGCAACCAAGAAGCTCTTGTAATTTCTCATCACATAAGATGGCTGTCAAATTCGAAGGATCCTGGAGCATATGAAATGAGACAGCCACTGTGAAGCATAATACTGAAAAATACTTTATAACCAAAAGATTATAATAAGAAAATGAAACAGAAAAAATATTATAAAATATAAGCCAAGCAGAAAAGGCATTTAAGTTATTAAAGTAGGTTATATGCATACAAATGTGTAGAAACTCGACATTGCAATCGCAAAAGTACCAGAAGATTACTTCCAATTGTTTCAGCAGAAACATACACTACGGCATACATTTTACACAAAGCTCACATCTACAGGAATTCACGGGACTATAACTCGTCTAGTATGCTGCTTGACTCATGCATTAAAAAGTACTTTCATGCCGCAAATTGACCAATAAATCAAATTAACAAGTCAAAATATTTTGAATTGGTTATTGGGCAGTAAAATTGAAACAGGTGTACTGAGGCTATTTCTGTTATAGGATCGCCTCTGGTAGAATTGTTACGCATAAATGCTAGTATGGGATTCTGAGAGTCTTCAATAAAAGAGAGAGCTAGAAGCAAACAAATGTGCTAAAACTATCGAAGATACATATACTTTATTTATTTATTTATTTGGCTTTTACCCATAGCATCTTCAGAGTGAAAGAAGATAACAATTATTACAGCTGCAGTATAATTTTTTGGGGGGCATATAATGGATAAGAAGTATTTTCCCAGTATGTATATATGGTGACGGCACAGGTCAAACTGAAAATATATGGTTTGAAGTAACAAGCAAAGAACCAGCCAAAAAAGATATGGATATAATGATATATACACATATCGTTGGTCAGAGGTAAAACATTATTGACAATAATGACATTTCTGATGGGCTGATATGAATTTGCATTTTGTAGCATATGGCACCTGCAAACTTAATCAGATTATAATTACTCACATAAGTCCCATAAATCAATTTCTAGGCAATAAATTTCAGGACACACCATCAGCACCAAATGTAACTGTGTAAGCGCTCATGTAAGCTTCCTTATGCACGACCAAATTTACAAAGAATGGAGTATAATGCAAAATCCAAGTCTCGGCTGAATCTCAGAATCAATCACCAGCAAGTGCAAGCGCTCAGGTATAGTTTTGTATCAATGTATGCACGACTAAATTAACAAAACAACAAAGTCGAATGGGAAATTAACGAGTCAGCTGAATCTCAAAATTAATAAAAAAAAATGACATATGAATTATGAGCAACTAGTCTAGCCACCTAATCATGACAATTTCAAAATTAAGCGGAAGGAAAATAAAAGAGAAAAAAAAAAAAAATAGCTACACACCTCAAGTTGGTTAACCTTTATGTATTCCCAGATTTGTCTTAAAACTTCTGATTGTGACATCTCCTTCTCATCGGTTCCAAAGAAGCTGGCAAGTGCATCAGATATCACCACAATTGGAAAAGGGTCATCACTTTGACTCCCAGATTCAACATCAACCTTTGGTTTCTTAGTACATTGATCTGCCTGTTCTGCAAATCCCAAAAAGAGAGTAACATATTTTATATTATTCACACGCAGGAAATGAAGCCATCAGAATTCAGAAAGTAAATACATAATTAACAGTCATATGCATACTTGTAGGATCAAGGGCTGTTATATGTTTAGCTAGCAATTTATTCATCTGGAACATGTCAGTGCGATCAGTCTCAAACACTAGGCGGAGCTCGTCATTGCAAATTATCTTCCTTTTATTGCTCGGGTCTTGCAGATTGTTTTTTCTTATGTAAGCCCACAACTGTCTCACAATCTGTAAAAAGCACTTGTTTTAGTAAATGAAAAATTGAAAAACATTTTGAACATCAGAAATAAGAAAATAAAAAAATAGAAAAAGGCTCACTAACCTCAGTCCTTGGCAAGGTTGGCTGGCCCACAATGGTTTGAAGCAATGGAGAAACACAGCACAGTTTATTTAACCCTCCTGGACCACCTCTCCTCTTTCTCCCTGATGGAGCACTGCAAGTATAGCATACCAAGTCAATACAAGCTACAGTAAAAGAATGTTTAGATTTTAGTTAACTAATGTCCTGGCAACAGATGCGAATGCAATGTTCTTTTCATGGATAGAACACAAGGAATGATCCAAAAGCAAATACATGATACATTGATACTCAAGGACCCACAATCAGCTAGAATATAGAACTTCTGATATTATGATTAATTGTGCGGTTGAAGATTAGCCTTTTCCAATATCAAATATGCAAGCAATAACCAAATAAGAATCGGAAAAAACCATCTCCATAGTGAAAATTCTATGTTTGTTAAACTACGAGAATTGATTTCATTCACTATAACTTTTGTGGAATCCTACTGCAGCAAAAGGTGAACATTTTCAAAGAAGGTAATCCCGATGAAAGCCTCTTCAAACTTCTCAGAAAAGTTGATAACCATGCTGATTAATTCCATGGCATAGCAAAACCAACTATCAGAATCAATTTATAAATGAAATCTATTGCAATGAAGACTAGCAAGAATGAAGGACATAACATAACTATCACAGATAGTAATTTATTCATTTCGTAACATACAATTGAAAAGGGAGTATCCTTTTGGTGAAGAATGAATTTCAGCAGCACCAGATACAACATTAAACTTTGAAGTAGATACAGCTGTAGCCCCGACCAACTTGCAGTTATTGTCCCAGCAAATAGTAAGTTTAATGAAGAGTGACTACCAAGATGTTGCACTAATACTAATAGTTGAGTTAATATTAATAGTTGAGTTACAGCTCTTGCACTTACAAAAATACACCCCAGTTACAGCAGCAACAACCCCAGAAAAGGACAAATAAAAGAGAGGAAGACAAAAATAACAGTTCATCTTCTTGGGTTTTATGTTAGCAGAGCAAGAGAAAAAAGAAGGAAAAGAAAGAGAATTTTTTTATTTGCGTGCTCAAGTATGACATGTTTCATTAACAAAATTAAATAACACTACGCTACTCAATAGAGAAAACTGAAGTAGGTGGCTTTAGCGTATTTCAGCATAATTTTTTTAAACAAAGGCCGACCTTGAAAGTGACCAAACTCTCATCCAAAAGAAAAGCAACTAGGACGTGAGTCTCTAAAAATAAAAGAACGGGAGGAAAACCTTTGATTTGGTAAGAAATTGGAAGGGACAGTTTCCCCAGGCAACAGGAATTTCCACACCAACCAAACAAACTCTATTTTTTCTTGAAAAAAATAAATATAAAAATAAATAAAGAAAGACAGAAACCCACCTTTCTTTGACATTGGCGGTGACACTGGGGATGCTCGCCACCGCCACCGCGGCCGCCGACGCAGGCGCAGGAGGAGGTGGAGGCGGAGGCGGAGGCTGAGACGGGGTCGGCAGCGTTGGGCGGAAGCCGTAACCGTCTGCGGGGAGGTGCGCGGCGAAGTTTGGGGAAGAAGCGGGATGGAAATTGGGGAGGGTAAAGAGGTCCTTGTGCGGCTGGTGGGGCATGAAATTCTGGTGGGGCTGAGAGCGGAGGATGAGGTAATGGTGGATCTGGGTGCGAATGAAGTCGAGTTTGTGGCCCAGATGGACGCCCAAATTGGATTCGAGCTGCTGAACGACGCCGTTGAGGGAGGTGAAAGAGTTGGCACCGCGGAGAAGAGAGTCGAGGGCCTCCGCGAGTTGCTGGTCGGTAACCGCCATCCCCGGCAGCGACGTTGATGGCCCAGCCATTTTTAAGAGATCCACTACTACTGTTCAAATTCTGCTCCTCTCTCTCTCTGCACTTTTTCTGTTGATTATTATTATTATATTATTATTATTGGCGTCGTGGTTATTTTCATTCCCACCCCAACTCTGGACTGGTAAAGGGTGAAAGATCGAATGACGAGAGTGCCCTCACAGGTTTTGGGCCACGACTGTAGTCGATACTGTGTGCGTGCACATATATAAATAAAAATTATAAATTATTTTAATTTATATATTAAAAATTATAAATGCGATAATGGAAATATCACACTTACATATTTTTACATTAGTAAATGAAGAGTATAATATAAACTATTTAACTACACATGAATCATTATTACTGACTAGTGAGTATCCCGTGCTGCAGACTTGTTTCTTAAATTCTTTTTTAAACTTTATTTAATAATTTAATAATATATTAGCTTGTTAACCGTTTATATTAATAAATAATATTTTAACATCTATATAATATAAATAATATTTTAACATCTATATTTATATTTTGATATAGACAAAAATATAATTTTACTTATTTTTGTTTATCATAATATTCAAATATTATTTTTTTTTAAATTTATTATCGTATAATTACATTATTATAATGTCATCATAACACTTATTTTACTTATTTTTGTTCATCATAATGCAATTATCGGTTTAGGGTTTTGTAAGTAAATTTCATGTATAATGAAAAGGATGTCTAATTGAATATGAAAGTGATTTTGAATATATTGCAAAAAAATTACTTAAACTCCGATCTCAAATAGGATGTCTAATTGGATATGAAAGTGATTTTGAATATATTGCCAAAAATTACGTAAAATCGGATCTCCAATTTAAAGAAATAATTGCCCATGTTTTTAGGAAGTAATTTTAACACAATATATTTCTCAAATAACAAATTTTTTAATTTCAATTCGAATTTCGAAAGTAGCCACCATTTTAATAACAAAATATTAAAAATAGAAACTCTGAAATTTTTAAGCGGAAAATTTTTGTTCTATTTAAGGTAAATCCCTGTTGCTCTTATATATTAATATATTAATAGATTTCATAAATTTTAATAAATAATGTAACTTTTATAATTTTGAAACATCATGTTCAATTAATTAGCTAGAAAAATAATGAATTATTATTATTATTATTATTATTATTATTATTATTATTNTGAAGGGGTCGAGTCATGCAGAGGCCCGCGAGAATGATAACACTAACCTATATTAATAATATTGTTGTATATATGATGCGTTGTTTGGATATTTACGGTCGTCATGTGCGTTAGTTTGATGATGCCCCCGAAGTGAGTTCATGAAGGATTGTTATGCTAAACCCTGCAGGTAGATTAAGTTCCGGCATAATAATAATGTGATGAACGAGCGGTAGCTTCGGTGAAATAAATAATATATTAATTAAATCTTGATTGTCAGTAATCGAATTAATTAATGGATATTATATCTTAAATATGATGAGGTAATTCGGGTAATTATAATTGGAGTCTCAAATGTAATTTGGGCTAAGAAAAGGGATTGCAATAATATTACGTTAGTGGACCGTAATATTATTTAAGTAATTGGAAGAGTGTGTTTGGTCCACAGTTAGTCCATTACTTAAGAAGTCCTATTCCTAATCTTCTAAGGATCTTTATTGTAGCTCTATATATACATCATTAAGCTCGTGAGAAGAGATCCATCATCATTATTCACGTGATACACGCCGCCCCCTCTCATCTCTCTCTATATCTCATTCGAGCTTTATCTTCTTTTGTTGCTCCATCGGTACGAGTTGAAGAGGTGTGTGAGTAATACAATAGAAGATTTTAAAGGTAATCGAGACCCCGTGATCATCTACAGAAGTCGATGAATCTCAACCCGAAGGTCAAGATCCGCCGACCCAATTGCCGTGAGCCCGCCGGACTATCGCCGACCACCGTCGAGAACCGGCCAATCGCGACCAGCCCAAAGTCGCGACACACGGGCGATCACCGCGACTCGATCGACGGCGCGACATGACCCGATCCACGCGACGAGCTGACCCCACTTCCGTTCGTGTGATCCAACTTCCGTTCATGTGTTGTTCCCGGTCATCCCAAATCTGACAGATTCAGAAAATTTTAAGCTGTAAGTTTTGTACGTCAAACCTTTAGATTCGTTGCGCATAGATTTACGTTTGCTATTGAATTCGCGACTTGTACATAACGAGATCCTCATAGATCCCAACAAATGACCCATTTTACCATTCGACCTGAAACTGTAGGTCGTCCAAGAGTTTCTCCGAAGGGAAAATTCGTCTGTACTCAAATTTTGTGGGTTAAGAAATAAGGTCGCAATTTGCTGACAATTACAACCACAACCAAAGCACCCTTCTCGACCTCTGAATACTTCATCTTTGCCCTCTGCATGACTCGACTCACATAATAGATTGGCAATTGCATAGGTCCTTCCCTCAAGAGCACCGAGCTCAATGATGCCTTGCCAATTGAAACATACAATACGAGGTCCTCACCTTGGACTGGTTTGATGAACAATGGTAGATCTGCAAGTACCACCTTCAACTCCTCGAAAGCCTTATGTGCTTCATCGGTCTAAGCAAACCTAGAGCTCTTCTTCAATGTCCTGAAAAGTGGTCTGCTTCTCTTGGTCATCTTTGAGATAAATCGACTCAATCTAGCAATCCTCTTAGTCAAGACCTGCATCTCCTTAACACCCTTGGGTGGCCTCAATCTAGTAATCCCCCAGAATACTATTAATCTTGTATTGATTGTAATAATGTATTTTTTGCAATCTTGGATAATTATGATTAATTAATTAAGTAAAATAATATTAAAATTATTGTTATAGTCGTCTTGTACGAAATGTTAAAGAGTTTGATTATACCATAAAAATAACTAACTAAAATTTGATAGAAGGCTTACTTAATGTGCTGAAAGAAAAATAAATAATAATTTTAAAAAAATAATTTAAAAAAAGGTTTAGAATAGAAAATTATTTATTTTGACTTTATGGTCTGTTAGTAGAAATAATTATGTAATAAAATAAATAAAAAATATAATTATTTAATTAATGCAAAATGAAACAAAAATTAAAACAATTTTTCATAATTCTTTTGTCAACAATTATATGGTAAATCACAATTTCAAAACAAATTCATCAAAATATATTTATACTTAAAATTAAAACCCTAAAAACCCATTTTTCATCATTTTATGCTTCAAAATTCCTATCCAGAAAGCCAATCACTCGTCTGCGGGCACCTTCTCACCTAGCTCGCGTTGATGGTGACGCTCAAATTTCCAAGCCGTGGCTTCGAATTAGCTTCACCACACTCTTCAGCGGGCTCCATCTCTGTCGGCTTTTCACCGTTGCTGTCCAAAAGTGCTCGTGCTGATGTCCTCTTCCCCAGGTCTCGCCGGAAAAGTGTATGCAGTTCCAGAAGGCATCGATATGGGGTTTCTTGCTCGTTTGCACCTATGGACACCGCTAAAATTAAGGTCATCGGCGTCGGTGGTGGTGGTAACAATGCCGTTAATCGTATGATTGGAAGCGGCTTACAGGTTGCAACTCTCCCTACTTACTTTTTTCTTTTATTTTTTCACACTTTCGTGATGGTTTTATTTTCTATGTTTATCTGGGTTTTCACCGGCACAAAATTTTGTGGGAGTTTTGGTTGCTGTGGTTTTATCAGTAGTGATGAGTAATGTTAGTGGACTTTGAATAAGCATTTTTCTTGCCATAGTCAGGACTCTGTTCATTATTCGTTTTGCTGTAGAGGAAGCTGGCAAATGTGAAAATTTTGATTTTCTGTGAGCTATTTTTCTTGTTCAAGATTTTTGGATATTTCGGAGAGGATGCTGGCAAATGCGAAACTGTTATCAGTAAAAGATTGTGGCTGTAGTTATTGTCCAATCTCGAAATCACCTGTTGCTATTTCCCTGTATGGAAAGCTATTTTTTCTCTATCGATGCCGTTCCCCCTGTAATGAAGAATGTTTATTTGCTCTATTTGGATTATCTGTTTGTCCTAAACTTTTATTAAGATTGACTAAATCTCAGTTTGCCTTTTGTGGTTTTAATGTTGAATACTTCTGCAGATCCTTTAGTATTGCTCTCACGTGTTCAAATTTGTAATGAAAAGTCATTGTAATGAAAAGTCAGTACTCTTGGACACTGCATATATACCATATATGTTGCAATAAAGATCTTCATTGGATTTCTTCAGTATGCTGGAAAATTTAGTTTTCTGCTCATGGACATTGGAATCTTTTGATGTTTTAGAAACTTTAGTTCTCCGATCATGGACATTTGGAGCCCTTTGATTTAATGATAATATCTATAACATGTTTGTATCGGTTTTTGAACTGCAGGGAGTAGACTTCTACGCCATAAACACAGATGCTCAGGCTCTGTTGCAATCTGCGGCTGAGAACCCTATACAAATTGGAGATCTTCTGACTCGTGGACTTGGTTCGCATCCTTAATCTTTTGGATATAAACTTTTCAAATGTGAAACTTAAACTTGTTTTCCCACTTTGTAAAAGAATATCACACCTGACATGGAATATAGTTTTCTTATAATTGGCAAGCTTAATGTAATGTTAATTTTCCTTCAGAATGTTGAATGTTAATGTTACACCACACTTGCTGCTGGCATGCAGGTACAGGTGGCAACCCACAGTTGGGCGAACAAGCTGCAGAAGAATCAAAGGAATCCATTGCAAATGCCCTCAAGGGATCGGATATGGTGTTTATAACAGCTGGAATGGGTGGTGGTACGGGTTCTGGTGCAGCTCCTGTTGTAGCCCAAATAGCAAAGGAAGCTGGATATCTTACTGTGGGCGTTGTTACCTATCCATTCAGCTTCGAAGGACGCAAAAGATCGTTGCAGGTAGGCGCTATATATACACACACGTTTGTATATGTACAGACACAAATGCATGGATTGGTGAAAATATATGTTAATCAAAAAGCATATTAATACAGATTTAAAGTATAAGAATTGCGAAGAGAGCATCACTGTATTGTGTTTCATGCAATACCTGTAGGCTCTTTGAATCCATCCCTTACTTGATATGTTGATGATCTGTAACTTTGAATATAAAATGCTTACAAACACATTTTTTCACGACGACCTAATTACATGTCTTCAAGATTTTCAATTCGGCTGAGTTTGTTTGTTATTTCCTTGCCCTCTCCTCGTCTTTTTTTTTCCTCCTTAAATAATTTTTTTGGAAGTTCTTTTACAATGATCAACTCATGCATGATGTGATGTCGTCGTGGGTGGTGTCAAATTTTCTGCAATCTTCCATTCTCATGCTTGTCATATTATGCATGCTGTATTTTTACAGGCTGTTGAAGCAATTGAAAAGCTCCAGAAAAACGTGGATACACTAATAGTGATTCCAAATGACCGTCTCCTGGATATTGCTGATGAACAGACTCCACTTCAAGATGCTTTCCTTCTAGCAGATGATGTGCTCCGTCAAGGAGTCCAAGGGATATCTGATATAATCACTGTAAGTGTTGCTAATCTAACAGTGCTTCACCTAAAATATGTTTCTCAAGTTTTGTAAGCTTTGTCAGATGATGCTTAAATATCTTCTATTCTCATTGGTTAGTATACTTCTTTGTATGAGAAATGGAATATAAATCCTATGTTGACACAATATTTGCCGAATCCCTTCGATGAATTAAAATTCTGATAGCTTTACTTAAGTCAAAATGAAAGGACCTTCAATCTGGAGCTATGTTTGTCATTAACTTTTTGGGGTAAACTGCGAAATACCCTTGAAGATGAGTCTCATTATGACAAGTGAACACCCAATTGATATTTAATTTTACAAATTGCATATTCAATAGAGTTATTTGTTTAACCTTCAACGTTTAAGCCAGAATGTCCGATTGCCTTTCACTTGAACTCTTGAAGGGCTTGTTTGTAATATAGGGTATATCTTTTCTTTTTTCTTTGGAATAGCTTCATTTTTCTTTTCTTTCCAAATATGTTGTGAAACCTCATGGCTGGTTTCTTTTAATTATCTCTAATTTTATTCACAGCTTGGACCAAATATTGTGAAAATTCTGGTAAATCCTCTTGTTTCTGCAGATTCCTGGTTTGGTGAATGTGGATTTTGCGGATGTTAAGGCAGTAATGAAAGACTCTGGTACTGCTATGCTTGGAGTGGGTGTCTCGTCCAGTAAGAACCGTGCAGAGGAAGCAGCCGAGCAAGCAACTTTGGCTCCACTGATTGGTTCTTCTATCCAGTCCGCTACAGGGGTTGTGTACAATATAACTGGAGGAAAGGACATAACACTGCAAGAAGTGAACAGGGTGTCACAGGTATTTCTTTAGTACCGTTATTTGTTTTTTTTTTTTTGTCTTTTTTTCTTCTTCTTCTTTGTTTGTTTTGTTTGTGAGTTTTGAGAATCATTCTTGCACAATTATTAGGGATAATAACGGAAATTCATATGTACCTGAAAATGTACTTTTATCTTAAAAATGAACACCTCATGAGGGGATGAATGTATTTTACAACCTCAGGGAGGCAAATTTCTTAAAACCTGTATGCTTGGATATAAGAATTTTTGGTTTGGATTTGGTTAATTTTGAAAAGGGTAGTATGGTTAGTTGTTAGTGGGTATATTAAAATAATATTGAAAATAAAACAATTAAAGTTGATGTAAAGGTAGGAGAGAGATAGATGTGAAGGGATGGTTAATTAAAATTATGTGAGTTGATGAATAGTGAATTAAAGTTGTTGTGGTGTGTAAGAATGATTGATTTATATAATATTGATGATACTAGGGTTGGGTTAAAAAAAATGGTTGAGTTAAAAATGTTTGGATTTTTTTTAGATTTTTTATACCCAAGCATGAGGGTTGTGGATTAACTTGTAACTGAGGTCAAACTGCAGGTAATTTTTTTAGTTACGAATAATTGTATTTTGTTTTAATCAGTAATAAATTAGTTTTATCCCATGGTAGTAAGACCTAACATGACATTGTTGGTGTATGGACTCACAACCACCACAAAGCATTATGGCATGGCTCTTCCTATGTTTTCAATTAAAAACAAAAAAAAGTTATTACAATTTGTTCTATTTTTTTTTTTTTTTGGTGGAAATCTCATCCAGGTTGTTACAAGTTTAGCAGATCCTTCGGCAAATATCATATTTGGGGCAGTTGTGGATGAGCGGTATAATGGAGAAATCCATGTTACGATTATTGCAACTGGTTTCACTCAGTCGTTTCAAAAGACTCTTCTAACTGACCCAAGGGGAGCAAAGGTATCTGAAAATAACAAGTCCTCTGGAAGATTAGATGCCTTGAACTCTCCACTTACTGTCAATTCATCAAACTCTACTCCTCAGGCGCAGCCTTCACGAAGGCTCTTTTTTTAGCCTCAACTTTTTGGTTCTTCTTTTTGTCCTTGTTTTTCCTCTGTGTAATCCATTTTGTCTAGAGGTTGATGCTGGGAGTTTCCAGTAGCTACAAAAATGGTCTACATGAGAATGTAACAGGTTCAAATGAAATTTCTTGATGTCTGTTTATGTTCTCTTGCGTAGCCAGAAAAGATCAGCAGTATCATCATATGTTGCAAGGATTAAACTACTTGACCATGGTTTGGCGACATAAAGGATGACCTAAATGATGTGTAAGTTTAATATTTTTTTCATTTTATAAAAAACAGTCATATGGTTGCATTTCTAATACTTGTTTAACAACTGTAAAATGGATGGGTAAAAAAGAAGCAGAGAAGAATCATAAAAATAAAACTTGTTTAGCAACTATACAAATTGAATGGAGGGAGGGGGGAGAGAAAAACAAAAAGTGCAGTTATTATACATATTTTATGTCGATCTGGATTAGTCTATTAATGATGCTCACCAGGTTGATGGGAATGACACACTCACATCGGCGACAGTCCAGAGTCCGAATACTTCAGCACAGGAGCTTCCTGAAAGCATCAATGCCGACCATAATTCGTTGACTATCGTGCTTTTTGTTTTTCTTTTTGTTCTTCGCTTGTTGTTAATTCTCATCGCCTTTTTAATTTCTTTTAATCTCATATATTATTTTAATTCTAGCATATTGCCGCTTCGTAATCTTGTTGGTGAAAACTGACCATCAACAAATTGACACCAAAAGAAAGGCGCTTCTCCCTATCACTTTCCCTGTTTTTTTTTCTTTTCTTATTATTTTTCCCAGAAAAATAAGCCTCACACAGTGACTTCATTTTGCAATTTTGTTATCCTTCTGTTACATCTGGGTACTATGTCTGTCACATTTATGATTGGCTTTATATTATTGGCTATTTCATTTCCCATATTTGCTTACCTTCAACAAGAATATGGTTCGATTAACTCGTCCTCAACAAGAATGTTATTGGAGAGGAAAAATCGATCATGTAATAATAAAGGCCCTATAGCGGCCGAACGGCCTTAGAAGGACCTTGGGAAGGTGATCTTTGTGGAACCTCTTCAAACGTGTTTCCACGCGGTAAAAAAAAAATCCAACCCAACGATCAATATTTTGACCTGGGCAGTACTCGTCTCATTCTTGGTCACACCGCGCTCGATGACCTAGAGATCAATCGACCATGTTAGGCCAGGACAAGAATGGGGGCCAGACAGAGATAACCTCGAGGTATGAATCAACACGATCAACCGACCAATATTCATCTTGTCTTGGTCAAAGTTTTTGAATCACAAACTATGTAAAAGAAAAGAAATTCACTTGTCTTAAAATAAGTGTTTAATTGCCATATATAAATCTCCACATGTATTAATATAGTATCCTGAAATTCCTTGTTGTGACTGTCTAGCAATCAAATGAAAAATTCAAATATTGCACATTATATACAATACTTATATCGTATTCGTGCCTCTTGTTCAACTATTAGTCATGTAATGTTATAATATAAAATAATTATTCAACAGTAAAAAACTAACAGTTAAGAATTTTCATTGAATCAAGTTAAATGAATTTACTCCGACTATCATCTGGATATGGGTCTTTGTGTTCACACGCTATTGTTAATGTAATGCAACATTCATCTAACAAGCATACATCATATGTCCAAATTTTACTGAGTTATTCAATATCTTATCATGAAACATCCTTCGATTCAAATTTTATTTACAATTATTGTTGTAAGAACATATTCCATGATTGTCATTAAATGTGCAACCATGTTTCTTAGCTAATAATGATCTAACATCTCTATCATATATGCTAATAATTAATTAAAAAAAAATATAAGATAAAATAATATCTTATATAATATAATTTCCAAATAATTGTCTTTACAATTGAAAAATAAATCAATGAAATTTGTATCGGTCAACTAAAAACGTGTTACGAGGACAATCTTTTTAGTAAAGAACTAGACATAAATTGTTGTTCATTGATTAATACTATGCACTTCTGGAATTAACAATTGTGCTTAGGATTAGTAGTAGAAACGCAATTCAACTGAAAGATCAGTAAAGCAACAATCAGAAAAATTGTGAGTTTGAAACAGTAGAGGAACAATTGGCAGACAACCAAGTTTCTGTAAAAGCACTTGGCTGGAACATAACAAAAACAAGTATTTGGTAATACAAAAGAATACAGTGCGGGCAAAACCCCTCAACATATTTTAAAACTCGCATAGTTCCTATTTTTTTTTTATAAAAGCACAGTTTCTATTTTTTACCACACCACCACAGAGATCAAGCCACAATTTGATCTTTAGAGCAACTCATAAAACAATGAGATTGCTCATTCAAGAACCATTTAATACTATGTTTCTTACACTTCATTCCCTACAAGAAGTAATCTGGAGCTGGCTTTCTGGCCGGTGGTCCTCTTGACTCCTGCATTTCACCAAATAACAGGAAAGAATAAACCATCAGATACAAAACAGGTTTAAGATTTATCATAAAATCGCAATATGGCGAATATGTTTATGAAACAGCATTTCCGTAAAATTTCACTATTTACAAATATCATATCACGTGAGAAGAAAAATAACTTATGTGATAAGACTGGGAATTGAAAAGGAGCTCTCAAATTCATTTGGGAAAACACAACAGAAGTGTGACCAAGAAAACTGGAATTCCTAACCCAGTATTTCCATCACTTTGTGAAAGCAAAGTAAAATGGAACATAGTTCAGTAATATTAATAATAATGCGAGTATAGATAAAGCAAAACAATTCCATTCGTATACCTGTGGAGCCGCTTGAAATACACGGAACTCCTTTTCAAGGTTTTCATTTAGCTCGAGAATTGCAGCTATGTTTCCACATCTGCACAATAACTAAATCTCGTTGACAGATTCAAGGCAGACGAGCGCAAAGCCAACAACAGCAACTATTATTAGTTTATCAATCACCAAAAACGTCATTTGTACCTGTAACAGTAATTTGGGGCCGACCAGACCGTAACTATCTGGTCCTTAAACATCCATTTATAGCCATCCATTACCAACTGATGTGCACGGCATATGTAGTCAATCTTATTAGTGTGATTAAAAGTAGTGACGACACTGCCACCAAATAAGAATCCAGCGCCACGTGGACTCAGTCCCCAACCATCCACAATGTCCTCTGGATCAGACCATAGGAGATCACACATGGCACCATCATGAGGAACTTCTTGCTTTCGATCAATTGTCCGAATCTGACATGCCACAGATGTCTATTAGGAAGAAAAACAAGGAATTACCTACTTTTTTCATATTTTTTTTTATTTCAGGGGGTTGGAGATGAGAGATTGGGGGTAAGTAAGAAGGAAATTACTAATTCAGTATACTTTTTAAACCTGGTCTAATGTAGAAATTGCAGGAGACAAACCACCATGAACACAGAATATCCTGTTCTCAATGAGCGCTGACAGACTACAAGAGATGGCAAAACATAAGTGATGTTTCTATTCCTCAACCAACACGTGCTAGAGAACAGTGAAATCTGAATGGGGATATATACAAGAAGTTGCAGGTACAAAGATGCGAAAAGGCATTTTAAATTTCATAGCTATATCATGATCAGAGGCAAGAACTAACGAGAATTCATTATATTGTTCAGTTTCCAAGAGTTCTAACATACAAAACCGAAACGGAGTTTGTTTATTTGCATTTAGCAAACAGAAATGTCTTGAAGATCGGAACCTCATGTAATCAAAGACGTCAGTGCAGTATCTCCAAACATTGATAGAACCATATTTCCGTAGGCACTCGTCATAGAAACCATACACCTGAAAGAAGGAAAAATTAAATAATTTACGCAAAATTATAAGCCAATTCTCACACAAAATATTTATAGATCCAAACCTGTGTTATCTGTCGGCTCTCATGGTTTCCCCTGATGAGGGTTATCCTATCAGGATATCTCACCTGTAAATGCACAGACTGTTAGTTGAGTTACGCATATGTCCATGTTCAGGAAGGCCCTTTATCTATGTGCTTATAACTGCTCATTATCTTAAGATGTTACTGAAAATGCTGGATGATTCATACACAGTTTAAGTAAATAGTAGCCAAGTTACCTTCAACGCAAGTAGAAGCAGGAATGTCTCGACAGAATAAAATCCTCTATCAACAAAATCTCCAAGAAATAAGTAATTAGTCTTTGGACAGTCACCACCTACTTTAAACAGCTCTTTCATGTCATAAAACTGCCCGTGTATGTCCCCACAAATCTACATGAGCCAAAGGGTAAAATGTATTAGGATTAGATTACAACTGAGATCAACATATATTTAAAGCAGCAGATTGTGATTTTCTGATATTCAGATATGTCCAAACATTATCTTAGAATAATCGTTATATTACTTGACTGAGCTGATAGCTGCACCAGCATCCTCAAATTGATTACTAGTCTTTCCCCATCCCAAATATATATATATATATAAAAAAAAAAAAATTAAATTACTTCCTACAACCAATTTTGGTGGTCAACATGTTTTTTGATCCAAATCTCCCACTTCTTGATTATATGAGAAACATAGCACCTACACCATAAAATTCAACGTAGAATGGCAAATACAATAAGCACAACATTTTCCCCCAATTCACAGAAGCTCCAATCAAAGAAAAAAAAAAAAGCTAGATCCATTCAACAGCACACAAACTCAAAACATTTACAGCAATGCACATTAGCCTCGAGCAGAATTACACGCATCCAAAATCCAAAAGCATTTTCCCTCCTTTCAAAACCCTACTGAAAAGAACCACCAAAATTGAATCAAAATCAACCAAAAAGAAAGAGGAAGGCCAAACACTTCCTTTCCCTAATACTTACAGTGACAGGGGCATCAACGCGCTGAACATTGCCCTCCTCCACGAGGATCTCCATGGCCTTGAGGCACAGGTTCTTTACTTCAGACTCCTCGAGCGGCTCGCATCTCTTAAGCTGCTCTATTTGCCGGTCAAGGTCTGACATCTTCTCCTAGATTCGAATTCCAAAACCGTCTGCTGGTATCCACCCGTTAACCGAATCCAGCTAGAACTTTTCACAGAAAATACTAGCGAATCTGAATCGATATATGGGGCGAGCTTGCTGATCTTGTTTGAGGAGAAGTAATTAAGCGGCAGTGAGTAAAAAGAGCCAAAATTTACCACCTTTTTGAGCGGGCTCTCCCTTTCAGTGTAGCTGCTGGGGGCCTGGCGCCTGGGGTTTCGTGGTTCGTGCTTAAAGAGGGAATTAGGTCTTTTTAGTTGGTGTGTGTTTGCATAAATATATACCAATATTGTTTCTATTCTGCAAATTAAGAAACAAATTTCATGCCATAAAGTTCCTCCTATCGTAACAAAGTTTCTCTTCGACACTGGTGGTCCAACACAAAGAACAAACAAAAATTCTAATTACAATAAAGATATTTATAAATTATAGAAATTCTTTCTTATGGTTTTTATAAATATTACAATTACCTTTAACTTTGTCAATTTGGCTAATCATAATAATTTATGTTTAGTGATGTATTAATTCTATTACTAGTTTGTTCAATATAAAAATAAATACTATTTGAATTTCATATACTTTTGGATATGTGGAAAAAAATATCTGAGTAAATATTTTTGTTGTGTCTGAATATTTTAGAACAATATCAATAACTATATCTATACATCTCTTCTCTTTTGTTATTAAATTCAATATAAGTAAGCGTGCTTGTTTACAAATTAATCTGATCAAAATGAATTAAGTAGAATTAATTTTGAAAAAAATTGTATGTTTAGTTGTTAGTGGAATTTTAAGTTTATATTAAATAATATTTAAGATAAAATAATTAAAGTTGATTTTCTATAAAAGTATAAGAGATATGATGTTAAGTGATGGACAAATTAATCTACTCAAAATGAATTTTTTTGTTAGCCAGAGTTAATTTTGACAAAAAGAGTATGGTTAGTTGTTAGTGGGATTTCAAATTTACATTTAAAATAAAAAAAAAGTGACATTGTTAGTTGTTAGTGGGATTTTGAGTTTATATTTAAAATAAAATAATTAAAGTTGATTTGATATAAAAGTAAAAGAGATATAATATGAAGTACCGGTTAGTTACTATTATGTGAGTGGATGAATAGTGAAATAAAGTTGATGTTATGCATAAGAATGATTGATTAATATTACTAAATTATATTAATAATATTGAAGATAATGAAGTTGAGTTAAAAGTGATACACCAGAAGCTCGACTCCAACTGTCCACCTACATCCTTTGGTGGCTTTGGAAGTGTAGAAATCTTTGGGTTTTTGAACACTTGAGGAGGCCAACTCACCTCATAGTCCATGCGGCAATGCAAGACTGGTTGAACTACATGGATAATGGTGGATCAAAGCTTCAAAAAGTCTAGTAGATTAATGTATCCACAATCAGGTGGTTCTCCGAGCTCTCGGATTTTCTGGTTTGTAATGTATTTCATGATGTACTTTGGTTTGTTTTAATGAGAAATTCTATCGCTTGGAAAAAAAAGACTTACTATTCATGAAAATATTTATTGCACATATTCATTCGGAATCATTTCGTCGCCTTAATATATATTTGAAAATAAATTGATAATATTTTCAAATCCCTATCTAGCGCAACAAAATGTTCTCAACATATTGGCGCATTCTTTTGTTGTTTCTGAATTATTGATATTGTTTTTTTATCATTCATTGTGTGGGCAAAAATTTGAAACCGAATTTATGAATGTTGTGAAAATCATCTTTCATGACGAAGATGTTGATATAGTACCCAGAATAGCTTGGTGAATCGGGCTGAGTGATTAGCTCGAGTGTGGCCGATTCGAGGGAGTTCCAGCTCGGTATTAGTGTTTGACATCATCAATGAGCTTGTTTAGGCAGGTCGGGGAACAAGTTGATCTGATAATAAGACTTGGAGGTCGAACTTCTCCATGAGCTCGGATAGATGAGGGAACCTCATGTGTTAATATATATTATGGATAATTTTGTTATCCTTAAATTGGATGAAAATATATTTCGCAACATATTGAAAAATGGGAGCTTGATATATGTATGAATATCAAACAGATATTTATAAAATGCACTCTTATTTTATTCATGACTTAATTAAATAAGGGTCATAATTAATACAATATCAAATGGAGATATTTCTATTATTTCGATCTCAAATATGCAAAGAAATTGAACTCAATATGTATGAAGTTAATTAAATGGAGTCCATACTTAAAAAATGCCAAATCATGATTTTTTTGTTATTTTGAGTTCAAATTTATAAAGAAATTGAAGCCAACATTTATCAAGTTAATTAGATTTTGCTATTTCGAGTTAAATTTATTAAAGAGTTTTAAGTCCGTACATATCAAGTTTGGATTGATATCCGATANCTAGCTAATAAGCAAGCTCGTGGTCAAAACCCGTGACCCGGCCCGGCCCGCCGGGTCGGCGGGCTCGAAAACACTAACCCTGAACCGGCACGGACCTATACTCGTATCGGGTCCGTGTCCGGGCCGGGTCGTGTCCGGGCAGTGCCGAGTACGTGCTTTTTTTAAAAAACAGTAGAAAAAAAAAAATGAAAAGAAGGGTCATCGATCCGGCGCGGCCCTGACCCTCCAGGCCGGGTCATGAAATGGATGACTCTTACACGTCCCGTCTGAAATCCGGGCCGGTCCCGGACCCGTGGTCAACAGGTTTTACCGGGCCGGGTGACCTTTGGCCATGTCTAAGTAAGCTTATAGCTGATAAACAAGCTTATAGCTTATCAGTAATTTTTTAGCTTATGGCTATGTTTAGTAAAACTAGCTGATAAGCTGATAGCTTATCAGTAAATTTTGAGTTTATGACTTATAGCTGAAAAGCTAGCTTATATGATAGAAGTGTGTGGTAAAATTAGATGATATAAAAGTTTCAACGAGCTTATTTGAAAAGTTACCCAAAGAAGTTTATGAGATAAGCTCGAGCTTTTTACATAAGCTCGTCCTACCAAACGAAACTTATTTAAATACAGAAAGCTTATAAATTTACCAAATAAATTGTTATACGAGAAAAAGAAATGTATGAGTAGGGTTTTTTCCTCTACAGTTTTCCTAATTTCACAAAGGTTGCAAGCATAAAGGAGAAATAAGAAGGCAATTATGACTTTACATTTATTGACTCAAGAGCTAAAGTGCAAAGGACAATGCTACATGTACAATTGTAGTTTACAACTCAGTTAAAAGTATCATCAACTCAAATCTCAGCCATACATTTACATATTTGCATCTCAACCAACTACATCATACCACATCATATTGTCATTGAATGTTGTACAAATAGCTTTTTTCAAGTGCAAAACGCTCCAAATCTCAGTGTTTTCTTTTTTTCGGAAATGCTCCATACCCACGGTGGGCACATGTTAATATGCCCACTGCTTATGTGGCATGCACACATTGGTGATGTTAATATGTTAAAAGAAATACATCACCAATGTGTGCATGCCACATAAGCGGTGGACATATTAATATGTGCCCACCGTGAGTAGAGAAACATTTCCCTTTCGTTTTTTAGTAGTTGGAGCAAGAAAAGCGACTTTAAAAGCTAATTAGCAAACATATTTTTGATTCGATGGTAAAAAGTCAAAATGCTATTTCACCAAAAATGCTAAAATATGGCAAAACGCGACAAGATCACAAACTAATTTATTTATCTATCAAACTTAGCCCGAATAAATCTTATTCTCTTTATCTTTATATATGTTACAGATTTTAATGTAGAGAATCTATGCGACCCCATTACGCATACAACTCCAAAACGACGACGTGGATACCCATGAAAGACAAACAAGCAATCGCAAACTTAAAATCAACCTAAAATGGAATTTTTTGTGCCTTAACTTCAACCGGGAAAATCGTGCCGGACTGCCGGGTTGTATTAAAATTTGTTAATCGGTTTAATGCGCTAGCGGAAGATGATGATTTGCTCGAATAAATTTTGCCGATAGCTGGTGGCGCTGTCCGTCGCGCTTTGTTAAATAATAGAATAGTTTCTAGAAATAACAATTTAAGTTTGATTCGAGAATTTCCACGATTTCTAGGATTCAGAAATCCTATTCCAGTTGACAAGGTGAGAGAATAATTCTATATTTTACCGCAGTTAGAGGGTTTCCATGTTAGACGATACTATATGAAGTCAATTGTTCTTTTGAGATGGCTTTTCTAGATCCTGTAAAATTTCATTACAGCTGTTGAAATGTCTGATTGTTCGTAATTCAGCTGCGTCTATTGTGCAATTTTAGCTTTTTGAACGCTGAGTTTTTAATTATTCAATTGCTGACTTGTTGCCCCTTAAATTGTATTTGATTTTTTTTTTTTTTTAATAATTTTGTTATGTGTTTCTCTTATGTTTGTTAAGAGTTCCATGCTGAGTTTATTCATTTGAAAGTTAATGGTGAGATGTTTGATAAGTATTTCAGCTGAATTTGGACAAAATCAAGCATTATGATGTAATTATCAAGACATTTTATTAGATTTATAATCGAACAAAGTCTGTAAATAAAGGATCAACAGCTTGAGAGGGACGAGAGAGAATGAGAAGAACTGCAGTGAAAGAAAAATGAAAAGAGAAAAAGTGAGTTACAATGTGTGGTTTCTCCCTTTTATATCTCTAGGGTTTCCACAATGGCAAAATGGTATATATTACAAATGCCTATAGTTGCTTGATGCAACTTTAACACAAATTCTAATATTACAAATGCCTATAGTTGTATTGCACAACTTTAACACACAATATAAAAATAAAACAATAACTATAAATCAATATTGTTATTACCCCCCCGCAANCTCCACCCGAGCTTGCTTTCTTTCTCGACAAAGGAATTGATAAAGAGCGGTGGCGAAGCTTAACATGTATATTATGCATGTTAAGTTTGGATACAAGATATAAAAATGCTGGTCCAAGTAGAGCTTTGGTAAGAATGTCTGCTGTTTGTTCCTTTGTGTCCACATGCTGCAGTTTAATCAGTCCTTGTGCTACCTTTTCTCTAACTAGATGACAATCAATTTCTATATGTTTTGTACGCTCATGAAAAACAGGGTTAGTAGCAATAGCAATAGCAGACTTATTGTCACAGTATAGAGAAACAGGGGAAGTGTGAGTAATTTTCAGATCAACAAGAATGTACATAAGCCATTGTACTTCACATGCAGTAGAAGCTAATGCCCTATATTCTGATTCAATTGATGATTTACTTACAGTGGCCTGTTTCTTGGATTTCCAAGATATAAGTGATTGGCCTAAGAAAATAGAAAATCCAGTAATACTTTTTCTAGTATTTACACAGGAGGCCCAATCACTATCAGAGAAAGCATGTAATTGAAGAGGAAAAGTGCTGGAAAATAAATTA